ATGCCAAAGCCCTCACTTCTCTGAGGTACAGCTTCTCTTACTGGCTGTAAATAATGATGGGTTTCTAGAAAGAAGGGCTACAATCTGAGGGTAAACCAGTATTTACATCTGTCCATCAACTCATTACTTTTCAGCATTATGCCTTTCCTTCAAGCATTAAATATATACTCATGTATTAGCACACTTAACTTCTATTCCCCATCTTGCCTCTCTACACTTACATACAAACATTGCTCTAGAACTGTTTGAAGCCACGGAGAAAACAAATCACTGCAGGTGAAAAGGAAAAAAGATGCGCTTGGATGGGTTGGTGGAAAAAAATATGCAGCTTAGATAAATTCACAAAAGATTCTGTCAATTGTCTCTTTTTCACTGAATTTTTTTCTGAATCATCTAAGGGATATTATTTAGCTTCTTCGATACTAATTTAACAATGCAAAGTGTGCAGCAGGTTGAGCTTCCTCAAACTGTAAAATGAGCTGAGCTTTGTGTTTTCCTTTTTTAACTGATCGATCTCTGTATTTCTAAAAAGAAGAATGTTATAATGTTAGCTAATTGTGTGCAAATTAAATGCAGAAAGGAAGAGATACAATACACATACTCTCTCATTAAAATCTTACCCTGAGGGATGACTTACTCAGGAAGAACACAGCAATACAATCTAAACGGTGACACGCAAAAAAATATTACTCTACGTTAAATGATTTTTTACATGTCATCTGCACTGCAATGAGATATAGTACAATACATTGTAATGCAGATGGCAAGTTAAATAACTTTATGCATGTAGGACAGGTTCTTTCAATTCTAGAGTGATATCTTTTTCCTTCTCTGAAGGAAAGTAAAAAGTAACTCAAAAACTGTCTCTCACTTTTCCTGTGGACTAGCTTACTCAGCTATTCCTCTGCTCTTCCTAGACGCCAATCCAGCAAAAGTACTGATGGTTATTGCATCAAAGGACCGGTATATATGGTCTCATCAGAGATTCTACAGCAGCAGAGAAATACAGAAGCAGCAGGCATTCAAGCTAAAAATCCTGCAAGGCCTCATGGAAGCAGATGAAAATTTCTGTTTTATAGCACAAACACACCTTCTCCAAAAGTCACTGGAAATCCTACTTACTAAATTTGACAATTCCCAAGTATGACACACAGTCCCTACACTCTTTCTCCAGAATACACATCTATAGCACTTGCCTTCTCATTCAATTGGAAAGTTTCAACGAAAACAGCACTACTCCAGGATAACAGACTCAACTTTTGCACGTGTCATGTCTACAACTTATTATCACCAATTCACTGCAACTCAGAATAAAAAAGCCCCAATCTTTATATTCTTTGTACAAATGGGAATGTATGGAGCTTGTTATATATACATATATCACAGTACATTTAAATTTAGCCCTTGCTATCCAACCTCATTTATCCAGGTGGGAAAGCTGTTACCTTCCCATTTATTCATACTTCTCTCTGCTCCACAGACCGAGTATTAATTACTCTCAAATAGTCTGATTTATTAGAATTAATATTAGATTAATTAATTATCTAAAATAATCTAAAACTATTAATTAATTACAGTAAATATATTAGAATTAATCCCAGTACAACTATTGCCAGAAGGTGTAGCCTAAAAACTGTTGCTTTTTTTCTGACCCAAAGTATTAATAATAATGTTGCTTCATAAGAATGATCTTAAGTACCTAAGAAATATTATTTAAATACCACAAACCCTGTGAGAGGACACTCACATACTAAACAAAATGAAATTCTCCAAAACAGTCTTTGCACTTGGATGTCTCAGTATTGGGGCACAGAGGCTCCAACGCTTCATAATACTTAACTGCTCTTATGAGAAAATATGTATCAACTAAAACCTAGCAGTATTGACTAGGCTATCCTACAAAGCACTACTGTGAAGATAAATCAATAAACACTACCTCCTTGCTATGGCTGATGAAGCAGGAACAAAAAGAGCACATAACTTGGCCAGGAGCACAGATTGAACTGGCAGCAGAAGAGTACCAAAATCCAGATGACCTACCTCAAAATCCTACTCTGCCTTTCTCTGAGCATGTGGCTTTACTGCAGTGATAGCTCCCAGGTAGCTCTTCAATTAGAACTTGCCACCTTTAAAAAATAAGCAAGCCCTCAGTGTCTCAACTTGGAAGGCACAGAGGAGTGGTCATTTATTTTCTCCAGTGGTGATATTCTCCAATAGTGATACTCTCCAATATTTTTTAAGCAATTTGTCCAGACTCTGCAGGAAATTTAAGGCTGAGGTGGACCTTACTCCTTGGATGGTATTTACCTGCTCAAACAATGATATGGCTTTCATGCTGGCCTCAGTTCATAGGTTCATCCAGCTAGCCCTAATATACTAAAAAAATACTAATTTCAGAAGATTCTAAGAACTCTCATCTTTCCACAAATCTGTATTCTGAGAATTGGCTGATATGTCCTGTCCAAAGTTATATTTGCTTTTAAATGAAATGAAAAGCAAAATGAAAAATTAATTACTTCAATGAAAATAACATGGTCAGGTGTTTTATGTTTTTTGCAATCTGTTCCCAGCACACAACTTTAATCCAAAAGCATCATTTGTTTCTTATCTGAGCCTCTCCCATGAGAAAAAAAGCATTAATTTCTGAGAAGCTTGTAGCAAGCAACACACCACTGTTACCTCCAGTGCAAGCTGGATCACTTGCTTCCTGATTGCATTCTGTTCTCTTGGACACTCTTTCTCACCAGGTTACTCTTGTTCTGTGCTTTGCAGTGTTTAAAATCAGGCAGTTTGATTGGACATAGTTGAGAATTTGCTCTTTCAATATATTCCTCTGTATTCTAATCCCCTGTGCTCTTCAGAGCTCCCTTAAAGATATTTAAGAAAGAAAATTAAAGAAAGGCGACTATGTATCAAAAGCAGTCACAGGCTCTTCCTCTCTCTCCCTTCATTTCTCAGCTACTGAACTGCCATCTGTTTTGCTAGTTAAGGTTTGTTTGTTTGTTTGTTTTTTATAATTGTTTAAAAAAGCCAACTGAAAACTTAAGCCAATCAACATTTTAGTGTATAACTTGGCCCACACAGTTATTTTTACTGAGATAGGCTCTGAGCAAATATCAGGCCTCCTGCTGTGGAAATGCTACCACACAGTTAGTCCTGTCTCGGTGGTAATAATTATGTGTCCAATTTGGACAGCAACCAGAGGAACTCATGGCACACAGACACAAACCACAACATATTGTTACAGTATCTCCTTTAATGTTTTCAATTATACAATTAAGCCAGTCAAACAGCAATATCACTTGTTCTAATGGCACAATAAAGCATCCCAAAGTATATGACTACACCAGAACAGCTTAGCTAAATGAGTTGCTTAAACACACAGCTGATACTGTGAAAGCTGCATTAAGCTAAGCTATTGCTGTTCTGAAATACATAACCATATGCTTATGTTCCTCTTGCTTGCCATCTTTCCCTAACTATTATCATTTTAAAAACAAAATCTTTGTTACAATCAAAGTCAGTAAAAAATCAGAACCAAATACTGCATGGATCTAGTAGTAACGTGATCATCATCAATGTGAATTTATCTCTAAAACACCAAAAAAGGGGCAAATAAACTATGTAGAGTCATATCTTTCTTCAAAATGCACTGCAGAACATGAATTGTAAGAAAGTATATTCTTAAACTGTTACAGGAATCATAGGCATAGAAAACTGATTAAAATTTACAAATACAGTTCTCTGCATTTTGATTAACAGAGAAGGCTCCAGCAATGCAATGACTGTTTCTGCAATGCACCAGGTGCTAATTCAAATGCAGCAAACAAAACTAAATTTTTATGACAGCTTAAACTTTGGCTTACTTTCAGAGATGACAAATTAATACCAACCTTTTACTCATGTAGAACCTGCTTGTTATATGTTGCACAGAGACCACCAGTTAATTCAGGATTTAGACATGTTTATGCCCACCCATCTCTCATTATGTTGCTGCACACAAACACTACTGGACTAATGAATGTTTTAAAACTAGAATAAATTGAATCAAAACTACTCACAAATAGAAATCATACCCATATCTCACAGTTTGTTTTCTTCCCCTCAAATTTATCTTCCCTTCTTAGAAATATGAACTGCTCTTCCTTATCTCTCATTTGCCCACGATGCTGTGGATGCCCCATCCCTGGAGGCATTCAAGACCAGGCTGGATGTGGCTCTGGGCAGGCTAGTCTGGTGGTTGGCAACCCTGCACGTAGCAGGGGGGTTGAAACTACAGGATTACAGTCCTTTTCAGCCCAGGCCATTCTGTGATTCTATGATTTCTTTTGTGCTGATTGAAGTTTCTCAGTCCATTACTAAGCCTTCCTCTTTAGTCTCTCTTCATGCTTTCCACCATCTATTTTGTAACACATAACAATGGCCCTGGTCAAAGTGATATATATAGAGTTCTAAAAATAAGTGATGTTTCAGCTGGTCCTCCGGTAATTTTGTAGCGGAGAAAAGCCTCCATGAAATATTTAATCTTAAGTGAATGTGAATCCGTGTTTTAATCTGTTTTTGAAAAAAATAAATTATATGATGATATTTATATTTTGAGCAAGTCAATATACTAAAGCAATATGTAATCAAAGAAAATTTGAGTGACATAGAACCCATTTCTTTTACACAGTGGAAGAAATCTTTGTCTAAAATGCTTTCCCCAAATCCAGGTCCATACAGACAACACCAGATGAAGACAGAAGCAAGCTATGGGGACAAGAGATTCACAGCAGAATATTATTACCTCTAAAACTAGGAACAGAAGAATTCCAGTTAGAGAAAATAAAAAGTGAGGTCCTTAGTCTAATCCATTCCCTCCCACTAAGAAACCACATCTAAAAGAAAGAAGAACAGGAAACCCCAAACATATCCCAAAGGAAAAAAGAAAAACAAACAACTAAATGGCAACAACAACAACAAAAAACTGTAAAAACAAAAACAAAACAAAAAACACTTACTGTCTTCTTCAACTTTTTGATGGCGTAATGTTTCTGGGTCCCTTTCTGCCTGCATCTGTAGACAATGGATGTAGCCCCACTAAATCAAAAAAAAAGAAAAAGAAAAAAAAAAAAAAAAAAAAAAAAAAAAAGGAAGAATAGTTGTACATACATCTCTTTGAATACGTCAACAAACAGATTTCCCTAGCTAACATTTTCTACTTTTCCCACACCAGGTAAAAATACCTCATTTTCCCCCCATACATGGAACAAAAACAACAGTGAAATGTGCTCTCTATAAAATCAGTGCAGTTCAGTTATTATTCAGGCAATAGAAGTGCAAGTGCTCAAGGCGCCTCTTTGTTTTTGTTAAGGCCATTTGCAACAATTAAGGCAGATGTTTTGTTTTTTATCGTTGTCATTCTTTATTTATTTTTCACCACTACTGGCAGCAATGGCAGGGGAGACAGAAAAGAGGAAAAGTACTGTGGTACTTCCTGCCCAGTTGTCCAAATAGTGAAGTACAGCAGCAAATGAAGCACGCAGCACTCTGATTAATTCAGACGAAACTGAAGAGGTTTGTTCAAAGCAAAACCAAACAACTTGGGTGTAGAGCTTCAGTTCCTTTTCAAGACCCACCACAAGCTAAATAGGAGCACTCATAATATAAAGTTATGGCACTGGTATGTGGGAGACATTTAGCAGGGCAGGAAGTCAGACTACATTCTCCAGAGATCTAGAACAGGGTGTCTCAGCAGCTTTATTTGTTACTTACAAAGTACTACCTTTGTATTCTATGAACTAGCTAAACAGAGGAAAAACCTCTGGCTAAACCATACTGGTTATAAATGATTCAGATTATACTCTATAACTATATAACATTTGTGTTCAGACACCTCTGAATAACTCAGTGTCAGCCAGTAGTAAAATGGACGCACTGAAGTGCTACATCTCAGCACAGTATTTAAGGCCCTGCGAGACCCAACAATAGCGCTGACCGTATGGGCCAAAGCAATGAAGTCTGTCCTCAAGAGACATATCATGCTTTCTAAGATCCAATAATTAATTCCAAAAAGCTGGAGATTTTTAAGTGAGAGGGGACTGGCTCTTACCATATCAATTTCCTGAGTAACATACACTCATATAATACACACCATACAGCCAACTGTACTGCACATAGAATCACAGAATCACAGAATGGCCAGAGTTGGAAGGGACCTCAAGGATCATGAATCTCCAACCCCCCTGCCACATGCAGGGCCACCAACCTCCACATTTAATACTAAACCAGGCTGCCCAGGGCCCCATCCAACCTGGCCTTGAACACCTCCAGGGACAGGGCACCCACAACCTCTCTGGGCAGCCTGTTCCAGCACCTCACCACTCTCTCTGTAAAGAATTTCCCCCTGACATCCAACCTAAATCTTCCCTCCTTCAACTTAATACCATTTCCCCTTGTCCTGCTATTATCTACTCTTTCAAAGAGTAGAGTCCTCTCCTGTCTGTAGGCTCCCTTCAGGTCCTGGAAGGCTGCAATGAGGTCACTCCTAAGCCTTCTCTTCTCCAGACTGAACAAGCCCAGCTCCCTCAGCCTGTCTTCGTAGGGGAGGTGCTCCAGTCCCCTGATCATCTTTGTGGCTCTTCTCTGGATCTTCTCCAACAGCCTCCTGTGTTTCTTGTACTGGGGGCTCCAGACCTGGAGGCAGTACTCCAGACGGGGCCTCAGGCAGGCAGGGTAGAGAGAGGAAATAACCTCCCTGTCCATGCTGGCTACTCCTCTTCTGATGGAGCCCAGGATACCATTTGCTTTCCAAACTGCAAGCACACACTGCTGACTCATGTTCAGTTTTTCATCTACCAGGACCCCCAGAGGTCCTTCTCTGTAGGGCTACTCTTAAGGACCGCTCCTTCCAGTCTATATTGATGCCTGGGATTCCTCCAGCCCAAGTGCAAAACCTTGCAACTTGCTGTATTGAACTTCATTACACACATCTCTTTCAACAAGAAGAAACCCATGCCAGCACATCTATAAGAGATGGTCACGAGCAGTAGAATGACACAAACAGCTTGTCTCTGTAGCCTCAAGGTCATTACAGGAGGAGGCTAGGAAGCTTCCTGCTGAACCTTGGTAAGCCTTCTTCTGAATCAGCACATACAGCCTTTCAGAGACTGTATGCCTTGGAGGGTCACAGTGATTCAAGACATCATCACCAAAAGCATTAGGAAGCATTGGACCATGACTGCGAACAGTAGCACCCTCAAAAGCTTGAACGTTATTCATATCAATGAAACATTTCATGGACATATTTTGCCAGGAAATAAAAATGTAAAAAGCAAAAACCCTTGTGGCAACATGTGCATTATTCTCTGAAACATTCTCTACTACATCTGAATAATACATTTTAACAGTACTACAGAAGAGAGACCACCTATACTCAATGGCTTGGGCACTTCTATGATAAGCAACAGGTACCACAACTAGGGAATATTTAATCCTATGGCACGAATAGTTTCAGCAGAAGAAACTGAGAGGACGCTAAGCCCGAGCAATTGGTAATCACTTGCAGATCCATATATCAGAATGTGCTACATCCATTTCCAACTCAGAGTAGAAACATGAAATTAAATTCACTATACTCCATATGAGACTGACCATAAGAGTACTCACTATATGGTGTTGACATATTTCAAATTAATCCTACTGATTCTTCCCTCTTCATAGTTAGTAAATATATACATACATATACATGCATATATGTACATATCCAGTTGTGAAACTGAGAGAAAAGGCACAGTCACAATTCAAGTATGCAAAGTCAGAAATAGTGTGTACACAGATGGAATGCCCATGAGGGAGATTATGGAGACAGAACTGGTGAACAGAATTTGCACATAAAGGCAATAAATGATAAAGTATATTTTGCAGAACAAGGCTTGGACTCACGGTGGAGATTGGCAAAAAGAAAAGCCAAAGCAAAAAAACACTCAGAATTTGAACTGGGTGAGAAAACACATCTTTCTTGCCCAACTCAAGAAAAAGCCCTTCTACCTCTGAAACAAGAGCATCAAAATAAAATAGTTGCACATTTATTTGGTCACAGTCAGAAAAGGTAAATTCCTACAGCTGCAATCTTTGTAATGAAAGAAATGGCACTGAGAATATTTCCACTAGACACAGTAAAATGATATATATTTTTTTTTTTTAATAGGTCAGCAATGCCATACTGTGCCACCCTTGGTTATATTCTGCATTTTGAATCAACTCAGTACAAACACACTCCTGCATGTAATCTCCTCTAAATTTAATTTGGATTAAATTCCTTAAGTTCTGAATTGATTTTTTAAGAATAAATTAGTTTGTGCTTCATGCAGTCAAAGAACGATTACACGATCTAGTTTGTCCAATTAAATTATGTGACAGAAAGAACGTTCTATGGCTATGAAGCCACAGAAATCATTGCTTCCAGCACCACAGTAATACTGAAGTCGTGTCGGTTCCCATGGAGAATACTGAATTTTTATGTAGCCTGCAGAGGTATGAAGTCAAAATGCATGCATTTTCTTCTTACATACACACAGTAGGAGGATCAAATGATCAATGAAATTATTGACTTCAAAATTAAACTCCCTGTTCAAATATCAAGATTGCTCAGAATAAAAAAAAAAAAAATGATACAGAAAACTGACAATTTAACAAATGTCTTGGGAGTCTGGCAAGGTCCCTGCTGACTAGAAAGTAGCCACTCTCCTGATAATGTTTAACTGGGAAGTGTTTTAAACTCCCCAGAATGATGAGAGGCCTTCCAGAGACATCCAGACAGGTTGAAGCACAGGGCAATTAGAAACAGCAGGAAGTTCAGCAAAGGCCAATACTGGGTGCTGCATGTGGGACAGAGTAATGTCAGACAAAGGTACACACATGAGACAAGCAGCTGGAGAGCAGCTCAGCACCCAGAAGGGTGGGAGGAAGGGACCTCAAGGTGCTGCTAACAGCAGCTCAGCATAAGCATCAGTGTGCCCTGGAAGCGAGAACAGCAATACCACATTAAACATACCACAGCCAGCAAAGCAAAAGAGGAGATTCTCCCACTTTCTTAGTGATTGTGCCTTATAAGGAGCAGATGAGGGAGCTACAATTGCTTAGTCTGAAGAAGAGGAGGGTTAGGGGAGATCTTACTGCTCTCTCCAACTACCTGAAAGGAGGTGGTAGCAAGTTGGCAGTCATCCTCTTCTCCCAGTTAACAGTGATGAGAGGTAATGGTGTCAAGTTGCACCAGGGGAGATTCAGGTTAGATATTAGTGAAAAAAATTGTCTCTGAAAGGTGGCAATGCGTTGGAACATGCTACCCTCCATTCCTGGAGGTTTTCAAGAAAAGGGTGGATGGCACATTTAGTGACGTGGTCTTGAGCAGACACAGGCATGGGTTGATTGTTAGACTAAATGATCCCATTGGTCTTTGCAACTTCAATGATTCCACGATTCACCTTGAATATTATATGCTGTTCTTGGCTCCACAATATAAAAAGGATGGTGAGGTCCTTGCAAAGGCATATCCTAGTTAAGAGCAACTTCTAGATTTACATGTTCATTGCTAGGAAATACCACTGGTGCTGTGAGAGGTCACAGATTGGTTCATTAGCTACGTAATTTGTGGTTGGAAAAGATTTGAGCAGCTTCTCATTCCAGTGTCTCAACAAATGTGCTTAGTTTCCTGATGAAACTAGTCACTATTTGTTACCATCTACTCAACACAGTTTTTGAAATAATATTTACACTTCCCATATAGTGATTAACACAACTAGCTATTCCAGTTCCCCCATATTTTTTTCACCAAAAGTCTCTAAAATTTTGGTCCTAAAGAAGAAATACAGCTTCAGCACATTTTCTGTTATCAGAAAGGCCTAATGGTATTAATATTAAAAAAAAATCAAGAGTTAACCACTGTTTATATCTATTATTATCCTGAACAGAGTATGAAGATGTTAAATTGTTCCCCTAAGTTTCAAATCTATTCCTATCAATTGTAGTGGCAGAAAGTCAGAACTTCATATTTTGTTCATTAGAATGAATTTAATTTGCAAAGAGTTAACAGTAATTAC